TAACTTAAGGGTTTATGATTCGGATGAAGAATATGAAGATGTGGATGAAGCGATCGCACGAGAGAGCGGACGCGCGGAAGAGGAGATGAGGAAGAATAATGTTGATAGGCAGAAGAAGTGGAGGATGATGAATGCATGGAGGGTAGGGTTGGGAGCGGAGGAGGACGTGGACGTGGTGGTGAAGAAGGATATGAGAGAGGAGGCCGGAGAATGGACAAAACACGGTGGAGAAGTGGAAGAGGCCGTATCCGATCTCGAGCTCTCTATCTTCATTTTCTTGATCGACGAGTTTTCCCACGAACTTGTCTCTTCTTCTCCATGAACAAATAATGAAATTTATTAGAGACAAGACAATTTAGTAGATTTTTAGATATCTTTGACTTGATAAACAAAATTAACCACCATAAGACCATCCGCATTCGTCATCTTTTATGGATGTTTTTAAATAAACAAATATTAAAAACACACTCTCTCTTCCTTTTACTCAACTTTATACCTTCTTTTTCGTTTTTTTACTCAATTTTTATTAATTTTATATTTAAACACACCCATATTCTCTCTCCAAAAGTCACTATTTATTGTCTTCCTAAAGACACAATCTCTCCAACAATATCCACTATCTCCTCTCTTTACTCAAATTTTATTAATTTTATATTTCAATACACCCCATTATTTCAACCAAAAACACTCTCTTTCTTCCTTTCACTCAAATTTTAATAATTTTATATTTAAAGACATCCACATTTGTCTCCAATGCGGATGCTCTAACGTTAGTCCCGTGATGATGGATTTCTTGTCACTTAAAACATTTTTAAATGATGTCACAACATTAATTTTTTCTTTTTGATAAACGGTGGGAAAATTACCTTCCATCTCAAATCCGATTTAATCATGCCATTGTTCATAACTTGGAATCACCTTTTACATATTTTGATTTAAAATATTAACTTTCGTCTCAAATCCGATTTAAAGAAAAACATTTTGTCTCGAATTTTTTTTTATTTTTATTCTGAAGTACAAGAAAACCAAACCGTTTATATTACAACAACATTAATTTTCCTTACTCAACTAC